GCCTACTCCCCATGGGTATACATTTAGGAAACAAGTTGTTTGTTGTATTTTAAATTCTAGATGAAGTTGTACATATTGAAAAACACCCCTTATGCCCTAGTTGCTTAGGAATAACCATTTGACGCAGGTGCATTCATGCATTTGTTGATATGGAAACTTCTGTTTTGCCACAATGTGTTAAGCTATAAAATGAGAAAATGCATTTATCCCGTGCTAACCTGCGTGTTTTGTTTCCAATAGTTATCGGAAGGCACTACGCATGATGTACTATGCAGATCACCATGGATTTCCAATTATTACTTTCATTGACACTCCAGGGGCATATGCTGACCTTAAATCCGAGGAACTTGGCCAAGTATGTGTATAGCAATGGTGGAATCCTCCTGAGTGACCAGAATGTGCAAGTTAATCATTTGTTTCACTGTATGTAGGGGGAAGCAATAGCTCAGAACTTAAGGACTATGTTTGGTCTGAAAGTACCAATTGTCTCAATTGTAATGGGAGAAGGTGGCTCTGGTGGAGCTCTGGCTATTGGTTGTGCCAACAAACTATTAATGCTTGAAAATGCAGTCTTCTATGTTGCCAGGTGCTTTTACATTGGCAATTAGAATTATTACTCTAGTATTACATTGTTCAAGGTGCTTGTTTGTTATGCTGATGGTTTACATACCTCTTGAATGATCATGGATTTCTTAATCCTTAATTGCACTTATGGTTGGTTCCTTTATTGACAAAAAATTCCTTTCAACTACGTCATTGAGAGTTTGTATCATCCTTTAATCCTGCACACAGACTCATAACATCCACTATTTCATTGTTTCCTGAATGAATTTTAATGCAAGTGCATTATTACTTTATCATCCTTTTCAACGTTAGGCATCTCAAGATTACTTTTATCTGTGGTTCCCCTTCAGGGACTTCACGAGTACTGATCCTCCTTCACCAATGAGGCTCTGTGATATCCTATTTTATGCAAATGTCATTGTGTATTAGAATGCACATTTTGATGAGAGAGGGCCAGAATACTTTGATTTCTTATGTTTTTGAAACCGCGATTCTACCTTACACGAAGCCAACAGCTCTGATATTCATAAAATATGATGCTAAAGCCTAAAGCCCTTCCCATAGACTTCTTTTAAGAATTCCAATCTGGAAAAAAAATGGATAGCTTGTAGTACTGTTGTATTATCAATAATCTTTCTAACTATCTACCTGTCACATAATGATATCTATTCCACCTAGTTTGATCATTGAGCTGTTACCTTCTCATGTACATGCTAAAACCAAAAGGTATTAATGAGTGACAATGGTGAGTAAATTTTAGTAATACTTAATTAAATATATCATTGTTATGTTACCCATTTACCCACAAAGGCAATTGACAAATAATCTTACGGGCAGATCTGTATACACATTTTTATGTTAACCATGTGGATTTATTATTAATGGGATTTAGCTCTTTACTCTAGCTGAATATTAATTGAAACATAGTATGTGAAACTTTCTCAATCATAAAATTCTCAAACTCTCGCAAAATTTTGTTTCCTTCAGAATAAATAATGTAATTTCATTGTTTTACTTGTCAACTTCTTATTCGGATTCCTTTCCATGTACAGCCCAGAGGCATGTGCAGCAATCTTGTGGAAGAGTGCTAAAGCTTCTCCAAAGGTGGTTTGACGATATCTGATCTGTTACTTTTTGTCTTGAAGAGATAAAATTGTTGTAACTCAATATACTTCCCTCTCGTTCCAGGCAGCTGAGAAGCTAAAGATAACAGCTAAAGAACTGTGCAAGCTAGAAGTTGCTGACGGCATTATCCCTGTAATATTCTTTCATCATTTTATTCATTTTATCTCGTTTACCACATCTCTACCTCATTATATGAATATTCTTTCTTTGTTCGTCACCCTAAAACTGTAATACTTTATTTTAAGTGAGAACATTTCTAAATGGTTATATGTGTTTTGAGCATGAAATGTAATTTGTTCAAGTTCAGTAGTACATTACTGGAGATTCCTGAGGATTTTTTTTTTTATCCGAGAAGAATATTATATGCATTTTATACCTTATAGCATTGCTTCTTCTGTAGAATATTGTATTTCAATGTCATCTCCAAACTTGAACAACCTTTTTATGATTAATAATTGGAATTTATGATTCATTTTAGGAACCTCTGGGTGGTGCGCATGCTGATCCATATTGGACCTCACAACAGATAAAAACTGCAATTGTTGAATCAATAGATGTGAGTGGCACCTACTTCTTTTCCCATAATACTGTGCATGTGTTTATCAGAAGCCTAAGCCATGTCTGATTTCTGCAGGAACTTGTAAAGATGGACACAGAAAAACTGCTAAAACATAGGGCTCAAAAGTTCCGTAAACTTGGTGGATTTCAAGAGGGAATTCCAATAGATCCAAAGAAAAAGGTCAATATGAAAAAGAAAGAAGAAGCCATAGTTGTGTCTAAGACTTCAGAAGTGGAGTTGAGGGATGAGGTTCAAAAACTGAAACAGCAGATTCAGAAAGCTGGTAAAGCGTCTGCAGATCATCCAGAGCCAGGTCTCAATGAGATGATAGAGAAGTTGAAAAGAGAGATTGATTACGAGTATGAAGAAGCTGTAAAAGCTGTAGGTTTGGAGGACAAAATTGTAATGCTGCATGAAGAAGTTGCAAAAGCAAGGAATTTAAAAGACCAGCTCACACCAGCATTAAAGGAAAAGATTGAACAGTTGAATGATGAATTTAACAAGAATCTTTCCACAGCTCCTAATTACTCCAGCCTGAAATATAAGCTTGATATGTTGAAGGAATTATCCAAAGCTCAGAATATGTCAGAAAAGAGCACCAACACTGACAAACTGAAAGCGGAAATTGATAAGAGATTCAAAGAAGTCATGGATCGGCCTGATTTAAAACAAAAGATTGAGACAGTAAAAGGTGAAATTGCAAAATCAGGGGTGTCCGATGTAGTTAATTTAAACCAAGATCTAAAGGAAAAATTTGTGCAGTTGAGCAAAGAGTTAGATTCAGAATTTAAAGCTATTCTTGAATCTATGGGTTTGCAGGTGTATCCACGTTCAGCCCTAGAAGCGAAGGCAAAACTAGATGCACTCAATGAAGAAACTGATATGATTATAGAAGATGTTATCAATTCCTCAAGTTTGAAAGACAAAATTGATCTGCTAAAGATGGAAGTGGCAAGTGCTGGAAATGCACCCGATGCTGAGTCAAAAAATAAGATTCAGGCTTTGGAGGCAGAAATCAAGCAGGCTGTTGCTGAGGCTGTAAGTTCCCCTGAACTGAAAGAGAAGTACGAGAAACTGCAGGCTGAGATACTTGAAGCCACCAAATCTTCTGTAGGATCAGACGGAAGTTTGGTAAAACAAAATGTAGAAGATGACAAGTTGAAGCATGATGGATCGCCAGTAGAAGTCAATACAGAAGCAAACCGCAGCTTTGTCTGAATGTAAGTGCATAAAATTTTGTCATTTCTCAATGTCTTTGTTGAGTATGATTTGGTGACGAATGTTCACAGATGAGATTCTTATAAAATGAAGATGGCCGTGGATAAATCTGTTGAGCATGCTGTGGATTGGGAGAACTTTCTTCAACCTTACAGTTTTTTCCAGTACCGAGTACCAGTATCTTCAGGAGCGCCGAGGTTTTGAATTCGCAAAAAACGTTATGGTGGCTCATAAGTTATGCTTTATTCAGATTGATTTTCCTTCTTAGACTAAACCTTTAAACTATACATTGTTTAGATATTATGTTGCTCTGGAGTTATGGTAACTGACTTTTTTTTTAAGCAGATAAAGAAACATATAGTTGTATAAATTAAATATATGAGTTCCAGGAATAACAGAAGAGCATTGTTAAAAATCTGAAATATTTCAACTGGCTTTGCTTCTTTGGGGGCGTGAAAGTTGTGAGTAAACAGGCAATGCCCTATTATCCTTTCAAAACAAAGTCGTGTTAGCCCTGTCAAATGGGCCGTTTCTGCCTAAATTTAAAATGTTAATGACCAACATTGAGTTTCTAGTAGAAACTGCATTCAGAACAACTTCGGAAGAAAAAAATAAAATTTCGAAATATGTATTAGCTGTAAGTACACATCCGAGGATTAGTAAAAGAAAAGAGCGAGATTGAAACTCCAGCATAAACTGTCTTGCAAATCTACAAAATGACATCAAGTGTGAAGCGAATCCATAAAATCAGATAGATGAACACTGGTATTGTCTTCAATTATTGAGGTTAAATGTATGTTATGGAATGAATAAGATCAAGACATTTTTCCCTGTTTGGTTTAGCTCCAAAAGTTGATAAAAATGTAACTCAAATCAACGACTAATTATAATATCACATTTCATGGGATCCTCAAGTTTTTATCAACATTTTAACCACACATTTCATTAAACTTTTATCAAAATTTACTAAAAATCTTATTTTTAGCAAAACCAAACAATGTCAGAATTTCAATCATCAGCTAATGTTGATATATAAACATGTCAGAATTTAAACTTTGAGACATGTTTATATACAGTCATTTACGTTCAAGCAGTTTGATATATATAATACTGAACGGGCTACACAACATAATAGATAAGATTTTATCTTTCTTTCCCCTTTATTACTATTAGTACCGTATAATCCTCCTTGCCAGCATGCCAATTAAGTAAAACAATATGAAAGAAGAGTAGACTCCATTATTCCGTACTTTTGGACTTGACAAGAAGTATAAATCCAAATCCACACAATTATTAAAAAGAAACTCTTCCCGACTACAAACTGAATTCTACATTGGACAATGAATTACGGAGTCATTGCCACCTAAATCGCTGATGGTATCTACTAATGATGAATATCATTATTCTTTTTTATTTTTGGCAACTTTTCGAACAAAAGCACGGGGTAGTGAATATCCCAAAAAATATTTCATCTTTCAGATCAATTATACAATTTCGTCAAGGTGCCTATAATTCATTTGATCCTTTTATCATTTTTATTTGAAAGCCCAAAAACAAAATTAAAATTGAATGTGTTCTCTTTCTCCAAAACTTTTACTCTAAGCTTGATTATACATTTGAATACTTCTCAATATATGTATACCTCTGTCTAGAATACTCTCTCCCCAGTAGCATAGAGATTCCAAAAAATGGTTGCCGCGAAGTAGAGACATGATGTGAGAGTTAAGAATGCTTGAAAAGATCCTAGCCACTGTACGAAGAATCCTGTCCCGATCGTGCTGATTATTGCTGCCAATGTCCCGGCAGAATTTGAAATCCCTGGTTCAAAGGTTTTCCAATAAAAACAACATTAGAGAATTACAAGAAAAACAAGACGACGAATTTGGAGTGAATTTAAGAACATACCGTGAACAAATCCTGCATACTCTGGTGCAATATCCTGATCAAATAATCAAAAACATATAAGTTGATTTGAGCAACACATTCTGCTACTTCTTGGTGAAGAAGGAAATAATTCTAGATTAATTTTTTTAGCTAAAATTCAACATATAAATCTTACTTGCATATTTAGTAAAAAGCCAGCTTGGCTGAAAGAGCTCAAACTCAGGGCAACTGTCATGAATATAGATGCAACTGCAGGCGATCTAGCATAGTTCAAACAGAGCAGTGCCAATCCCGGGCCAATGAAACCTATTGACTGTCATATCGCGAAGCAGATGTTAGAATGGAATTTCCTCATGTTTTCCGGTGAAAAAAATATTTTTATCGACTAATGGTGAGTTGTATATGTAAACTTTGTTAGCTTGGATTTAATTTTATTACAGACATGATTTCTACTTCAGGAAATAACAACTCCAGTCCACCATTTCCTTCGTTTATCTACTCTTCTTTTGAGGAGAATTTTCAGGGGCTAGTACTGAAAAAGGTGAAGGTTTGAATCCAAGATTTTCATTTTTGCCTTCTGAGATATGATCTTATGTTTTGAACTTGTAATGAATCTTGCTATCTCACGAGTTCGAGCGTTTTATGATCTTGATGATATTTGTGCTAAAATATTTCTTTGTTTCATTTTACAATGTGAAATTTCCACTATATTGTGGTAACAACTAAGCACAGTAATATCTGATACTAGTCTCAAAGGAACGATAGTTCTGTTTTACTAGAATGTCTTGACTCTCGAGTATTAGGAATTCTTATTCATTAATGCGGTTTGATGAGATCCCAAAACTAAGTATACCTGCATGATTTTCCTTGCTGATGTAATAGAGTACCCTGATTTGATCAAGTGATCAGATGTTGCCCCTGCAATGTAGCCTGAGATTGCCATTGTTCCCCAAGGAAGTGCACTGAACCAAGCTGCTTGCTTCAAATTTACATCGAACACCTAACATGTCAGCATTGAAGATTTATATTAGCAGTAGAAATGTTGTATTACAAAAATGTAAGTGTAGAAGGCACTACTTCAAAATTTTTATTTTCTTGAATTTTCTCGACATCCGAGACTTTTTCCCTTTCTTTTTATTAGTCAGTAGATGGAAAATTCTGAACACGTTGAAGGGAAAATCTAGAAGGAAAATGATAACTCACAGTTTTAAAATAAACAGGCATCCATGATAGAAGAACAAAGTATCCCTGCATTTATGAACACTTAAGAATCATAGTTCAATTGGAAAACAATAATCAATAGCACGAGAACTAATATTTACTTAATTTCAGAATTGGAAAATCAAAAGTGAGAATAGAAACCTAACCCAGTTGTTAGTCATATTGGCAAAGATAATTGCCCACGTAGGCAATTTTGATAATAGAAGGCGTAAAGGTGGAAGCTTTCCCTTGATGACTTGAGAGTCAGATTTCCCAGCTTGGATTAAACGCAACTCGGATTTACTTATAGAATTGCTCTCTAGTGGATCATTTGTCACTTGATATGACCACGTCGTTAACCAGAGAAATCCAAGAGATGAGAAGAGAATGAAAGGGCCAGAAATTCCAATTGATGACATTAGCAGAGGAGTTAAGATTAATCCCACAACATTTCCAAGATGGAACCCCCCCATAGCTATTCCAACAGCAGTAGCTCTTTCATGGCTTGGAAACCACCTAATAAAAGGCAGCCATACAAGAATAGAATTACTGTTAATGGATTTTCAACGTTGAGCACAAATTCACCCCTCTCTATCTCAGTGAACTAGAAAGTTTCTTTTATAGTTGTTGGGGACCCAAATGAACCATAGAATTGGATAAGGGAAAAAAAGAAGAGAAAAAGCTCTTCTTTTTCTTCTTCTTCAACCAATGGAATGACCAATTCAGTATGAGTGAGTTAACGGTGAAGAAATATTACCTTGATAAAAGGGTGTTCATGGAAGGTAGAGCAACTCCTTCAGCTAGTCCAAAAAAAGCACGGACAGCCAATAGGCTGCCTGTGGAGTGATTCGCAGCCCATGGAGTAAGGAGCGTGGCCAGAGACCAGAGAGCAGCACCCCACGCAATAACTCGTTTTCCTCCATATTTGTCCACCAAGGCTCCTCCAATAACTGAGGAAAATATATATCCCCATAGAAAGGAAGACTGCATGAAGCAATAGCACCTCATCATCAGAAAAATACTAAATTGATCCAACCGAGTTAGAAAAGAACAAGAAGCATAGCATGAGTTTCATCTGCAACCTACAGTGTTTCATCTGTTTTCATTAAGAAAGAGTTTGTCTCATAAATTTGATTGCATATTTGGAAAGTTTCGAAATTTCAGTCCATAACCTCCTAGGAATATCTATCACTAAGTCGTCAAAATAAAATGAAGAGAAAGGTAGATTATCTGCCAATATTGCCAGCAGTTTTGCACTTCCGAAGGTTATGCTGTCAAAAAATTATTAATTTCATGTATTCATCAAAAGATTACACTTGCTATCTACAAAGACTAATAATAATAATAATAATAATGCATTTTACATGATATGATATGACTAACCTAAAATGCATTTACATGATTAGTTTATAGTACAACCCTAAATTATCTATCATAATCTTCTGTCATCTAAAGACAAGTGCATAATTCCTCAACAAATTCATGGATCATATCGCCAAGTACATAACCATAGTAATCTCTGTCTCTCCAACAAAATGCGCGTTGACATTCTTCTTGTATTATTGTTTGCGCATAATTAGTTGTAACCTTAATGACAGCTATGCTGTTCTGTAATGTTGAACGTTGTGGAATAGATGTAAACTCGTTGACAGCTATACTGTTCTGTTATGTTGGTTTCAGCATGAAACTAAAAATATTACGGAACAAAGTGCTGCCACCATTTGTATGTAAAGTCGAGGTGAATACAACCCCACATCTACATGTTACCATAAAGTGGATCCTGCTCTAAAGTCGAGGTGAATGCGAATCTTGACAAACAAAGACAAACATATTACCCAAACTAGGAACTAAAAAATAACAAATGTTTACAAGGATAGTGTGTCCATGAAGAATATCAACTTTTACAATTTGATAACCCATGAGTCGAGCAATATTGGGGCATTCGCCCCCCACTCAAGAGGCTCGAATAAACTTCAAAAATCTGACTTGATCATAGGCTAAACTAAGTAAACCTTTCTTAATATTTCAAACTAGTTACTCAATATTTAATTGGATGTTCAACGATAAAAAAGTTTCATTAGTAAATAATAAGACATATTTTTCGCGATTCCCTCACCCTGTGAAATACCGTCGCCCTTGCCTCCCCTCCCAAGTTCCAACATTATACGTTATATATATATTGATCAAAGATTCAAATAGAAGAAATGACACGTCTTACTGACCTCTCTTCTCTTGTTTCTTTACCTCCTTTCGTGCAGAATTGATATATTATTAGTTACATTAGCCGAATATTGTCAATCAATGTCCCCGATCATTAAGGGTGACATAATTATACGAAAAAAATTATTTAGAATGCATCGGCAAAAGCACTCTGAGTATTGAATCACAAACGTCTAAGTAACTCGTTTTTAACTATTCAACCAGTAGCACTAAACTACTATTCATGTATCCCTCACCCTCTTTAACAAAGCTTACATTTGCCCAATAGCTTATGTCAATGGATAAACCAGTTTTTCCATTTATACCGGGGAGGTTGGCAGCCTCTCACATGAAGCGTGGACCCCGCGTGAATAAAAAATTCCAAAAAAAAGTGAGCTCCCATTGTGAGTGTTGATCATCAATTTCTATCAACCATGCCCTGTACAAGTAGCTTGGTTCCCACCACCAAATTTCACGGTGGCTACACTTGCACGGACATGTGCCACCCCACCCCGAACCCTCCCAATACGTAGGCCACTTGCCTTATATCACAACAAGGCACTATTCTTAGGCGTCCACATCAAAAACTACTAAATTTAGTTCATATGTCAGGTTTGGTATAAATTCTACTTTCAATTGCAGGAGGCGGCCAATATTAAATAGCAGTCGTCACATCTCAACCACCACCAAAGACATTTTCATTACAAGTAACCACCACCTACAACCAAAATTCATTCGGGTCCATAAACGACAACCTTAATTTTATTCCAATTAAACCCAATAAAACATTAAAAATCTACTAATGGAGTAAAAACATGTTCTTTGGAAAAAATTGATGAAAGATCACGGTGAAAATTTAAATTTACCTGAACAATGCCTAAAAAAGAGCTGCTCCATCCATGTTTGGCAGCAAGTGGAACAATAGCAACAGACATTACGACTCTATCTGCATTACACAAACACATGATCCCCGCCATTAACGCCACCACCTTAAACCTCTCCTTCACCATGAATCCACCACCTTCTTCTCCTCTACTTCCCACAAACAGAGACCTGTCAATCCCCTCCGCCGTGCACTTCACCACCTCACAACCTCTCTGCTGCCTTCTATCATTCTTCACACACCAAGATCTTTTCGTCATATATTGATTCTCCCCATCTGCCCATGATAAATTCCTCCATTTTTTTGATTTAAAGCCCCCCAAATGGGACTTTCTCTTAAGGATCGGACTGGAATGGAAATTGGGTAAATGCGGAGGATTTGAATAGGTAGATTGTAGCTGAAGTTTATAGGGCGCAACGCATGCCATCGTGACAGAGAAATTTTGCAACGTAAGGAAACGGTCTATTGAAGTTATTAGGTGGGCACGATCCTAGTCCTTCCCTTTAAATCAACCATTTAATGTTTTTGCCTAACTGTAAGAATTTTTAGTATTGATTTGTAAGAAATTGGGTTCTTATGTGGGAAAGTTGGTGAGCATGATTTTGTTTCATTGTATCTCATCCAAGCTGATTTTCCACATAATTTTTTTCCTTATGGGACAAATGTTGGGTTGGTAGACTATGATGACCTTTCGCGTACAATTTATAAATTCAATCAAAATTAAATATCAATTTCAATCAAATATTTGGCAATTATTATTATTCCTCGTATTATTTTTATTTACAAATTTGTCAAATGGAGATTTTTCCACAATTTTTTTCAAACACTTTGTGTTTGTGGACCGTCAATCATCTTCTTTCAATTTGGATGAAAAAACTCCCATAATATTTAGGTGATGCATATGGAATTTGGTAAAATTAAACATTATATGTGTGCGAATCAAATTACGGGTAGGTTTCCACACATTTCAAGAAATTAACAAATATTATTCATTTATCAATAATTAACCTCTATTTATTTATAATGTAAATTATTCATAAACACTTCCCGAACATACATGAAAAATTTGTCACTTCTTTAGATATTACCAATTTACAAGATTAATATTTCCGGTTTCATATGGAGATTTATTTCATCTGTCCTTTTGCAAGGCTTATTGGGGGTGGGATTGGGTTTTGAATGGGAGGGTCAAGAAGTGAAATGACAACATAAGTAGTTTTCTAGTAGATCTAAGGTAGCTATGACAGTCTTATTTTTGTCTTTCGCTATTTCTTGCATCTAATTGTGGAGAAAAGGATTTTTGGTAGGTAGCTTTATGTTTGAGTAAAAAGCGGTGTCGCGATAAGATTATTTGGGATAGCGAAAATGGGGAAGGACGAATTTAAATAGGCAAAATAGATGCCGAAATCAAATAATCATAGATGGGGATGTGTGTGTGTAATTTATCAATTATGCTATGGCACGGTATTCGATAATGAATTAGAGGTGAACCTGGTTCGATTTGAGTTGTTTGCGACAAATTTTCAAATCAAATCACTTAAAACGATTTGAAAATTTTTCAAACCAATTTTTAAACCAAACGGATCCAAACCATTTTTTTTGGTTTGGTTCAAATTAAAACCAAGGTTTAACAAAGAAAAAATTTCATATATCGAATAAGTTAAATCATAAATATTAATATAAAATTTTACGTTATAACATAAAAAATACCATTGAAAATATTACAAACCAAAGTTCTATAATTCTAATCACTGTAATGCAACAATATGATAAAAATATTTTAAATTCTTAATTGATACTAATTGACGTAATATATGTAATTGTAACACAATTCATTCTCTCTATAAAAATAAGAATATAATATATGAACTCATTGATTATAATTAAATAATATAAAATAACTAATAAAAAAATGAGTAGAAAGATCAAATACAATAATACTTTTAATGACATTTTGTGAACTATTTAATGCTTATACCTCATCCAAATACTAACGAATCACTATAGGTTTCTTCTTACTATACAACGAGTTTTCAAAATGAATCACCACCTCAACCATATTTTGACTTAATGTAACTCTTAAAGGAAACAAGAATTCTACCACTAGTGGGAATGCAAGCTCAGAAATAATTATGTATATTTGAATAACTAGAACCCTTCTACTCGTACAGAAGGAAAGTGGCCAGAAAATGGCCAAATCTCTCACAAGAAGGGGGGTGGGTGGTTTTTTTTTCCCAATATTTTACTCACATGGTGCCCACTCCATGTGAGTTTCTGGCCAATTTCTGTGGCCAATAATTCCGTACAATTAGAATTATTCAAATAACCAACACATCTTTAACAATTTGAGGAGACAATCTTGTACTTATTTGCTTTGAATTTCAATATAAAAGTACGTCGAAAGACACATTGGTTAAATTTTCAAAACGATCATTTAATTGAAATGAATAATTTATCTATTCGAAGTGAAACCTAAACCAAACCCTTTCGAAGTGATTTAGTTCGGTTCAAAATCAAAACGTTGACGGATCCATGTGAACCTAAACGAATGATTTCGAAAAATTGATTTCAATTCGATTTTACGATTTGACAATTTCGTTGTTCAGCCCTATAATAAATCATAAGCTCCATAAATAATTCATTTTCATTAGTCAATAGCCCAAGACTTCTTCAACTAAAAAAGGCAGGCCACTAATGCAAATAATTTCAATTTCGTGTCTTATTCCTTTTTTTATGACTTTAGTAAGTTTACTATCCGATTTATAGTCACATTAAATTAGAGATCAATAAATATTACAATCATGTCACAGTGACATTTTGTCATTTTGAATGACATGCAAGATGACAGGGGCAGAATTTTATTGGACTGTTTAAAAAACAATTAACACTGCCATCCAATTATTTTTTGCCACAACTCCATCTGTTAACCAAGGTATTAAATTCTCCTAAATATTAGCCCTTGTTTGGTCCCCATTTTGGGGTGTTAAAAATTTTTGGAATAGTGATTGATGAGAGTATGTTGTAGAAAAATTAATGAAAAATTTTAGATTTATGTGTAATATTATTTTATTTTATGAATGTGTGGTTGAAATTAAGAGAGAAAAAATTAATATAATATAATGGAAAAAAATGGGGGGCAAACGAGGGCTATATTCACCCGATGCATTATCTAGCACTTATTTAGCTCGGCTAAATTTTATATTTTTAGTAAATTTTGATAAAAATTAATAAAATATACAGTTGAAAAGTTAATAAAATTTGTGATTACAATAAAATGTGCAGTTGGAAATAAATTTGAAAAAAAAAATATTTTTTAAAAAAATTGGGCCAAAAAGAGAATAGAAAAGAGTCAAAACTCTTGTACGTAATTTATTTAAAATTAATTTTTTATATTTACAAGTGAGAATTAACACTACGGAGATCCAATTATCATTCAAAAATAATAATTAATTTACAGCATTTCCCTTTGAATGGCAGTCTGCATAATATTTGGCTCACTAAAACCTTATTTGAGAAAAATTAGGGAAAATATTATCAAGTTAAGGAAAAAAAATTACAATTAATTATAAAAGAATTTGGATTATCCAGATGACGTCTCATTAAAATCTTGTTTGACTTTAGTAAGTTTACCATCCGATTTATAGTCACATTAAATTAGAGATCAATAAATATTACAATCATGTCACAGTGACATTTTGTCATTTTGAATGACATGCAAGATGACAGAAACGTTACCGGGCAGAATTTTATTGGACTGTTTAAAAAACAATTAACACTGTCATCCAATTATTTTTTGCCACAACTCCATCTGTTAACCAAGGTATTAAATTCTCCTAAATATTAGCCCTTGTTTGGTCCCCATTTTGGGGTGTTGAAAATTTTTGGAATAGTGATTGATTAGAGTATGTTGTAGAAAAATTAATCAAAAGTTTTAGATTTATGTGTAATATTATTTTATTTTATGAATGTGTGGTTGAAATTAAGAGAGAAAAAATTAATATAATATAATTAAAAAAAATGGGGGGCAAACGAGAGCTATATTCACCCGATGCATTATCTAGCACTTGTTTAGCTCGGCTAAATTTTATATTTTTAGTAATTTTTGATAAAAATTAATAAAATATACAGTTGAAAAGTTAATAAAATTTGTGATTACTATAAAATGTGCAGTTGGAAATAAATTTGAAAAAAAAAAATATTTTTAAAAAAAACTGGGCCAAAAAGGCTTCCGAGTATTTTTACCATATATAATCAAATGGATAATGTTATAAAATTAAGGAAAAAGAGTCAAAACTCTTGTACGTAATTTATTTAAAATTAATTTTTTATATTTACAAGTGAGAATTAACACTACTGAGATACAATTATCATTCAAATATAATAATTAATTTACAGCATTTCCCTTTGAATGACAATCTGCACAATATTTGGCTCACTAAAACCTTATTTGAGAAAAATTAGGGAAAATATTATCAAGTTAAGGAAAAAAAATTACAATTGATTATAAAAGATTTGGATTATCAAGATGACGTCTCATTAAAATCTTGTCATAAAAATCCAGTGAGATAGAACTTGAATGAAGCAAAAAAAAAAAAAGTATACAGCTACTGTCTTTGATGTTGATCACAGATGATCTTTGTGTTGCCACAATTATATTGTTAAAGCCACCAAGCAGTATCATTTTCCTACAAGATATTCATCTATCATCGATTGATTTTAGTTAATATGATGATTTGCTGCAATTAAATTGAAAGTGGATATTATTGTTACTCTTTCTAGGAGTCTCATATACAATTTGTAATATAGGAAAGTAACATTATAGAGTTTTGAGGTAAATATAAGCTATGTAAATCCATAACTATAATATTTAAATACTATTTGATTTCAATTACACAAAGATATATACCTTGTTAAAATATTTTTAGGAAAAATGTGGAAAACAAATTCAGGTGCAAGAAAAAGAATAAATCAAATTTTTAAATACGCTACAAAAACTAGTGGGTTCAAACATCGATCGAGAAAAAAAAAGAGTATAACGTGTATTTATTCTCCCTCGTAATAGTATCACTTGAGATCTATATATTTTATTTATCGACTTCTCAAGTGTTAAAAGTAAATAATGTCTCTGTGGTCATGTATATATAGCATAAATCATAACTATGGCACATGTGAATAGGTGAAATGATAGATGATCTTTGTATGGATCAAATAATACCCAGCATCATTGTAATTAACTATAAGCAAATTATAATAATAGAATTTCATGTTGACTTGGTGCATATCAATGTTACTGCTTGTAAAATATCATTCCATAGAAGAAATTGAAGTATTTTGTTCTCAATAGTAACGGTTGAAGTAAAATATCATTTGGTCGTGCATAAATTCCATAAATTTCATGCAATCATCCAGTAGATGGATCTATGATTC